ACTCCCTCTTGAGATGGTTCGTCGAATTGGATGACGCCATAAGGGCGCGTCGCATCGACGACGGGGATATGCAAGTTGCATTTGCCCAGTCAAATCTGGCAGGACGTACCAAGACTTGGGCACTGGGGATCAAGCTGCACGACCCATATGCGTTTGGGTCGTTGGAAGTCTTCAAGTCGCGGCTCAGACAAACGTTTGAACCGCCTAGAGCTGAGTTCAGGGCTCGAACCGAACTCTTGAAGCTCAAGCAGGGTAAGCGTGATGTGCACGCTTACGCTCAACATATACGACATCTTACGAGTTGTATAAGTTCCAATCCAGTGGATGAACACACGTTGGTTTCGGTGTTCATGCAGGGTCTTGCGGATGGTCCCGTCAAGACTCACCTGTTCCGGCTTGAACTAGATTCACTAGAACAAGCCATTTCCATTGCGGAGCAGGAAGACTTCAGTCTGAGACAGGCTCGCGCCAGCTCGACATCATATCGTCAACCGAGACGATATGACAACGGAGGTCCAGAGCCGATGGAACTCTGTTATGTAGAGAGCGAGAAGGTTCGCTCTACAGGCTACAAGAAGTTGCAGAGATGCAACAGATGTCAGAAGACAGGACACTACGCTTACGAGTGTAGTGCCCCTCGTCCAGTGTCTCGCGACACTGGGCGTAGTGACCGTCCACCCATGAGAAAGGGGCAGGGACGAGGGTCCGCAGTTGGTGCAAAGACGCAACAACGGGATGGACCGTCAAAAAACGGACAGGATCAGTAGGTGCGGAGCACCCTACTGATCCAGCAACGTCAAGAGAATTTGTAGGCCTCTTGATGAAGGTTGCTCCCAACACACAGACGTTGTGCGTTGCTGCTCTAGGTAATGAGATCTCACTCATTACCTTGAAACTCGAAGTGACGAATAAGTTGTCCCTTCGAGCTCTAGTCGATTGTGGGGCGTCCAACAATTTTGTGCGACGCCAATCGCTAGAAGATGGTCAATTTAAATTCAGTGAATGTGACACACCTCCTACGAGGATGACGGTACGTCTTGCGACAGGCGCATCCGTAACCGTCATGAAGCGTATAGTGAAGATTCACTATACGCTAGAAGATACCCAATATGACGATGACTTTATCGTATTGGATTTGGATGACAAATTTGATGTCATCCTTGGAATACCGTGGCTCAGAAGGTACGAACCACGGGTAAACTGGCAACATCGGACAGTAACGATGCCTGCCGCTTGTTCATCAGATGGCCATCTGATGAACGTTTTGGAGCGTCCACAAGCGTGTGGATGTACTACGAGTGAGTGCGATGGCCTCACTTGTGGTACGGTCGTTAGTACGACTGCACAAAACCTTAGTGTACCAAACGGTTACACTTCGGAGCAAAGTTCCGGCGGCTGTGAGGAAACACAGGCTGCGCCGAAGGTCCACCACTCGAATAAGTCGGGTGGACTGGGACAAAGATGTATCCCTAGCGGGGAACATCTAGAAGAGAAACAATCGATCGCTCAGGTTAAGCGAAACGATAATCCTAGATCGACTGGAGAGTCTTTCGTAGAGGATCTCGCTGTGGTTGCGCAACCCCAGCTAGAGGAAGTAAAGGGAATAAGTCCCAAGATTACAAATACGGCGGAAATAAATTCCCCGAAACCCGCGGGAATAAGTCCCCGGGAAGCCGAAGGAATAAGTCCTTCGAAGCCTGAGGGAATAAGTCCCCAGGAAATGACAGAGACATTGAATGTCATAGTCAATAACGGATCAAGTGTAGGCGCTTATGCACTTGATCTGATTGCGCCTCCGAAGTTAACTTCGGAGATCACTCAGTTGCCAACGCTCGAACATAAAAGGTTCTTGCGTGATCTGCGTAGTGGCAAAGTCAAGCAGATCTGCATACTCGTCGCTGACGACGAGTGTGCAACCGACATAAGGTCAGCAACAGTGTTTACTGAGAACGAGAGAGTTCTCAGTAGTTCATCTATGGACGAGAGTGTCCTAGATGAAAAGACACGAGTTGAGCGATATGACTCTCAATCATGGGAATCGCTCAAGACAAATCCTCTCTATGAAGATTTGGTTGAATTCAAGGATGTATTCCCTGAAACTGTTCCGTGCGAATTACCGAAGGATAAAGGTATTCGACACGAAGTCGAGCTTAAACCAGGCTCGAAGTACTGTGTCATGAAGCAGTGGCCACTGCCTCGTGAACAAGTACTTGCGATCGACAAGTTCTTTGCCGATCGTTTAGCAGCGGGCCATGTGAGGGAATCAACTTCCCCACATAGCTCTCCGACCTTCTGTGTGCGAAAAGCAACAGGAGGGTGGCGGATAGTGCACGCGTTTAACAAATTGAACGCTGCAACGGTACCGGCTCAGACGCCGATACCGAGGAAGGACGTAATCATTGATGGTATGTCAAAGAGTACCATCTTTTCGTCCATGGATTTGATGGATGGCTTCTATCAAATCCTAATGCGGGAACGGGATATACCCTATACCGCAGTTAGCACGCCTATCGGCATGCTCTGGGAATGGCTAGTAATGCCACAAGGGCTCAGTAATGCCCCTGCCACGTTCAACAGATGTGTATCACATCTGTTGAGGCCAGTACGAGAGTTCGCGCCGAGTTATTTCGATGACGTATTCATCCATAGTCGAGCTATGGATGGAAAGTCGGACGTTGAGGTTCACAGGTACCACGTCCGACAGGTTCTTACAATCATGCGAAAGCATCAATTGTATGCAAACCTCAAGAAGTGTATATTTGCAGCAAGCGAAATACCACTTCTTGGGTGCATCGTTGGTAAGAACGGTGTACATCCTGATCCCGAAAAGATCAAGGCGATCACCGACTGGCCTGTGCCGGTCGATGTCAAAGGTCTTCGAAAATTCCTTGGGCTAGCGGCGCATTTGCATAAGTATTCACGCAATTACGCCGAGATGACTGTGCACCTCTCTCGTTTGTTGAAAAAGAACGAGAGGTGGTTATGGAACGCTGAGTGTCAGCGCTCCTCTGATGGTATCAAGCAGAGCTTGATACAATCCCCAGTCCTAGCAATAGCCGATCAGGACAGGCCATTTCATGTGGTCTGTGATGCCAGCGATTTCGCAATCGGCTGTGCATTAATGCAGTACGACCTAGAAGGCGTTGAACGCTTCGTCTGCTATCAGTCGCGTCAGCTGCAACCAGCTGAGCGGAACTATCCAGTGCATGACAAGGAACTCCTTGCCATGAAGTATGCACTCGCGAAGTTCAGAGTCTATCTCTTAGGAGATAGACCCTTCATTGTTTACACTGACCATGCGTCATTACGCACGGCAGTGAACATCCCGCACCTTTCACAACGAATGGCGCGGTGGTTGTCATTCTTTGCGGAATACAACTTTACGGTCGAGTACAAACCAGGACGACTTAATGTCGTCGCTGATGCACTCTCACGTCGTCCCGACTTTGAAACAGTCGCGAAACCCAACAGTGAGACAGTCACTGTTGCGGTTATGACGTCCTCAGTCCCATCTACAACGTTGTATGATGATATGAGGCGGGCATACGCCCAAGATGGTGAGATTGTGAAGTTGTTGTCACATTTCTCCCAACCATCCCGAGAATCGTTGAAACGATTGTCGCCTGCGTATCGATCTGCATCAGATCGATACACTACTTGTAACGGTTTACTGTATTATACAGCCGTTTCTGGTGATACACCACGTGTTGTCATTCCAGATGATACTGATCTGCGTTTGCGGATCATGTTCGAGTATCACGATGCTCCTATAGGAGGACATCGTGGCCGGGAGAAAACATATCTCACGGTAAGTCGAGACTTTTACTGGCCCCGCCAGTATCAGTTTGTGCGAAAGTATGTTCGCGCATGCGAAGTCTGTCAACGAGTGAAGTCAAGTCCTTCACTGCGTGCACCTTTACAGCCTCTACCGGTTCCGGCTGAGTGCTGGGAATCCATCTCAATGGATTTCGTCTTCGGGTTACCCAAAGACGCACGCGGGAATACGGGTATTCTCGTTTTTGTTGACAGATTCAGCAAAATGGTACACCTAGTGGCTGTACCAGAGTCAATCACGGCAAGTGGCTGTGCTTGTGTCTTTATTGACACCATCTTCCGACTTCATGGGTTGCCCCGTGAACTCGTATCAGACAGAGATCCACGCTTCACTGCTGATTTCTGGCGCTCCGTGTTCAAATCACTCGGAACGCGCTTGAAGATGTCAACATCTGATCATCCAGAGTCAGATGGTCAGACGGAACGTGCCAATCGTGTCCTTGAAGAGATACTTCGAGGATACGTACACTTCTTTACGAGTTGGAGTGAGTTTTTGCCAATGGTAGAGTTTGCCATCAACAACTCGGTGCATGCGTCCACGACACATACACCGTTTTACGTGAATGGCTTGCGCCATCCGCGTGTACCCACCTTACTAGAGTGTAACTCTGGTTTAAGGGGGGGAGGGACTCGCGCGAGCAAAAACCGATTTGGTTCACGCTCATCACGCTCTGACGAAGAAGTCATTGCGTTTGATGCCGATATCGATAACATCGATATCGAAGAAGATGATGCCAGTGAGAGTGCGGAAGCCCTCACTGAAGACAATGATCCCAGTGAGAGTGCGGAAGCCCTCACTGAAGAAAAGGTTGTTGTTGCTGCAGTGCGCTCACAGCACACTGAAGCTAACGAGTCATCAGATGAGTTCATACTGGCTCGTGAAACGGTAGTCCGTTTTGTGCAAGACTCCATCGCCGAAGCGGTGGATAAGCAAAAGCAAAACGCTGACAAGAATGGAAGGGCAAACACTCTTTTATTTAATAAAGGTGACTTAGTCCTACTGTCTACGGTTAATCTACCAAAGCATGTAGTGACTAACTTGGGTAGCAGTAAACTACTACCCAAGTACATCGGCCCATTTCGTGTATTGCACCGCCTGGGCAATGCATACACGATCGAGTTACCACGTAAGATGCGAACGCATCCCACGTTTTACTTTGGTCGGCTTAAGCCGTACCATCAGTACGCTGCTTCTTCCGATGAAGAACGCCCTTGCGCTCAAGCATCTCGCAGAGAGCCTTGTGCTCCCGATGGTGGGCATCAACAAGGGTCTGAAGAGCAGTTATCTCAGCCCGAGACCGATCAATCATCCCACGAGCTACCCTTAGCTCGTCACGAAGAGATGTCAGAGATCTCTCGTTCTCGAGCTGAGCAAAGGCAAACTCAGCTCGATGCTTCGAGGCAGTGTCCGCCATTTGGAGACGCCTATTCCGCTCATGCTCGAGATCGTCGCGTAACCCTTGCGTTACGCGATCAAAAAGCTCTCGGGAACACACCGATCCACATGATCGTGTGGAGAGCGTCTTTCCTCCTCCTCCACCTCCATTAGAGGACTCTCGCGGTGGCCAGCGCTATCTAGTTGAGCAGCTGTTACACCACCGCGACGTGAACGGACGTCGGACGAGTTATCTCGTCCGGTGGCGCGGCTATCCCCCGTCCTGGGATTCTTGGGAGACCCGCTCCCAACTGATGATCGACGTACTGGGTCTGGTAGAGCAGTACGACGCGGCACATCCTGTGCCGCAGAAGGACCGGCGGAGAAAGTCTTCCCGGCACGGTCGTAAAGGGATTTCAAGTTGTCAATCCCTTCGTACATCTCAATAGAGATACGTACGCGCCACCACGGGCTGTTAGGGAGGTAAGCCTCCTTAGGTGCTCGTGCAGAGTTGTTCACACAACATGGGCACGAGTCTCCCCAAGAGAGGCAGGGTAATCCTTTCTCCCTTGACAGACGATGCAGCTTGTAGCGTGCACCTGTCGGGGTTCGCTTTTCAAACTTATCACGAGCTTTGATAAGTTTGTCGTTCCAAGCGTCACGACCTACATCCTCGAGGTTATGGATGTAGGCGTTCCACGCCTGAAGTAGTGAGGGACCATCACGTTTGTGATTCCCACTGTACCATCGATGTCTGAAGAAAGCATCGATGAAGAACTCATGTTTAGCGCGATAGTCTTTCGCGCTGGGGTCAAGGCGATGGATCCTTGACGAATCGAACAATCGTGTTCGATAACGATCACTCGTCGTCGCCGACAAGTGATCCATGACAGATTTTGGAGGCATCCATGCCTTCTTTTCTGGAGCGAGACGCAACACATTGCGGTCCCGCTCTTCCTGCGACGTGCCGACAGAAGTACTGGCACCTCGCTGTGAAGTGGTGTCCATTGGAGAACCGACACCACTATTAGCGCCCGAGTCTCGCGACCTCGAGCGCCTTCGCTTCGGCGATGGTTCATCTGATTCATCAGATGAACCGAAGATGCTGCGACGCAAAGCATCATCCATGCCACGCTTGGCAGGCGGCTTGGATTCAATCGCCGTCGATACGGATCCGTCATCCGTATCAGGAGAGTACGAGACACCGAGCTCGTACTCTGTGAAGACACGAGTGTCTTCATGACCAGCGCCTGCGTCACCAGGTGACACAGGCTGGGTCTCTTCAGCAACCGATGGGACATCAGTTGCTGTTGTTTCTGCTTCGGCGTCCGCACAGAGACGTGCAGACGCGCTCTCGGCGTCCTTGCTCGCGCATCGCATGGGCTTGTTAACCATGCGATGAAATGTTGGAAAGTGGACGCGGACCAACAAGTGCAAACCCCGTCCCAAATGATTTGGGACGAGTATCCATTTAGTCAATCAGTCACTAAAGTGACTGATGGTTAAGGGGGGGTGATGTAACGGGGTGAATCGTTACATAACAATTTATAAGAAATTGTTAATAGAATATAACTATAAGAGTTATATTCTCAGAATATTGTCATAAGGACAAATATTCTGTAGCACTTACGAGTAGTTCCTAATTGGTTGATATAGGCCATTATATCAACCAACGAAGACGCGCCACGACAGACGCACGCAATGAGTGGTGAGCAGATAATTGATTTACACATTTGTATTTAGACATAGTTAGATGAAGATAAATAGTGATTTATTGCAGACATTAACTATTATAAATACAGTTCTACTTTTTACTCTAACCAAGTACTCGCTTCTTCTTACCGTCTTCCTCTGCACGTACCAGTGTACGTGAAGTTACGAGGCACCGCCTTATTCTGTTATCAGAATAAGTAGCTTGTACTGTCACCAGTACAAGCTTCAGGGTGCCCCGTTACACATTACGTTTTCGCACACATTGATGATAGGTTAATGCGATGTGGGTGACAAGGGCGCGTATTCGTGCAAGCTACATGTGACCGATCTGTGTGGTCTAAATGTGCACATAAATCCACTATGTGGTGTGTCAGGCATCGACGCGAGGGCAAGCATGACGCGCGACTCTTCAATGGCAGCCTATCTACGTAAAAACGGATCCCGTTTGGTGCAGAAAAAGTAAGAGACCAGCGGCACGTTCCGATCCCGGATCAGCTCTGGAATCTCTGTTCCCGCAAGATGTCAAAAACAGACCCCGTTGACGTCCCATTGATAATGCGCCTCAAGACAGACGCTTCTAGCTTAGCTTGACAAGACGTCGAAGATTCTTTGGATAGGCTCACATGCTGCGAGGTAGTGCATAAGGTGTCGTGCTCGTTAACGAACAATGCGTCCGCGCGATTAACTTACACTTAACGTACTGCTTAGCGTGATTGGGATCGCTGGATCAAATCCAAAAATTCGTTCAGCACCTCACGAACAGACGTGGTGGCGCTGCCGCAGCCGTGGTAGCCATATTATTCGTACTGTCGAGGCAGCGAGCACTGACCGTTATGAATGCCGCGTGGACCAGGTAGGATTCCGTTCCGCGCGGGATGGGATGGGATTGGTTTAACCTGCGGGACAGTGCGGGGTGAGATAATTGAACATGTACCTAACTTTGATTCGTACATATCCGCATACCGTTGAGCGCTCTCCAAATGCGCTGGAAACCCAAGATTGAGAATCAGAGCAAAAGGCAATATAACTTGCAATGCGCTTTATGCTTACCTGCTATAACGGGTAAAGAGGCAAAATGTGAACCGTTTTAGAAAAAGAGTGGCTGGGCTGAAGGCGTTCTTCGCAAGCAAGGCTCTTCTTAGGCATGGTGGCAACAAGTTTATGATGCTAGAACGCACGCATCATTATCAATGCAGTCGAGTTCCAGCGAAATTGCGACGTCTTGCAACACGGTCCTGGCGGTAATTTTGATCTACTCGATTGCCCGAAAGCGATCCCGGCACTTGGTGGAAAGGCAGTCGATGGGGGCGAGGTTTAAATGAATTAATGAATGGATCTGCGAAAGCGCATCAGGTTGAGTCCAGAATCTTACACATGAATGACTTTCAAACGAAACTCATCGTCTTAAAAATGAACTTCGCGAGTCCCCAGTCGATTAAGAATATACACGAGGTCGTCGTTGGGTGTAACGGGGCACCCTGAAGCTTGTACTGGTGACAGTACAAGCTACTTATTCTGATGACAGAATAAGGCGGTGCCTCGTAACTTCACGTACACTGGTACGTGCAGAGGAAGACGGTAAGAAGAAGCGAGTACTTGGTTAAAGTAAAAAGTAGAACTGCATTTATAATAGTTAATGTCTGCAATAAATCACTATTTATCTTCATCTAACTATGTCTAAATACAAATGTGTAAATCAATTATCTGCTCACCACTCATTGCGTTCGTCTGTCGTGGCGCGTCTTCGTTGGTTGATATAATGGCCTATATCAACCAATTAGGAACTACTCGTAAGTGCTACAGAATATTTGTCCTTATGACAATATTCTGAGAATATAACTCTTTTAGTTATATTCTATTAACAATTTCTTATAAATTGTTATGTAACGATTCACCCCGTTACATCACCCCCCCCTTAACCATCAGTCACTTTAGTGACTGATTGACTAAATGGATACTCGTCCCAAATCATTTGGGACGGGGTTTGCACTTGTTGGTCCGCGTCCACTTTCCAACATTTCATCGCATGGTTAACAAGCCCTTGCGATGCGCGAGCAAGGCCGCCGAGAGCGCGTCCGCACGTCTCTGTGCGGACGCCGAAGCAGAAACAACAGCAACTGATGTCCCATCGGTTGCCGAAGCGACTCAGCCTGTGTCACCTGGTGATGCAGGCGCTGGTCATGAAGACACTCGTGTCTTCACAGAGTACGAGCTCGGTGTCTCGTACTCTCCTGATACGGAACACGGATCCGTATCGACGGCGATTGAATCCAAGCCGCCTGCCAATCGTGGCATGGATGATGCTTTGCGTCGCAGCATCTTCGGTTCATCTGATGAATCAGATGAACCATCGCCGAAGCGAAGGCGCTCGAGGTCGCGAGACTCGGGCGCTAATAGTGGTGTCGGTTCTCCAATGGACACCACTTCACAGCGAGGTGCCAGTACTTCTGTCGGCACGTCGCAGGAAGAGCGGGACCGCAATGTGTTGCGTCTCGCTCCAGAAAAGAAGGCATGGATGCCTCCAAAATCTGTCATGGATCACTTGTCGGCGACGACGAGTGATCGTTATCGAACACGATTGTTCGATTCGTCAAGGATCCATCGCCTTGACCCCAGCGCGAAAGACTATCGCGCTAAACATGAGTTCTTCATCGATGCTTTCTTCAGACATCGATGGTACAGTGGGAATCACAAACGTGATGGTCCCTCACTACTTCAGGCGTGGAACGCCTACATCCATAACCTCGAGGATGTAGGTCGTGACGCTTGGAACGACAAACTTATCAAAGCTCGTGATAAGTTTGAAAAGCGAACCCCGACAGGTGCACGCTACAAGCTGCATCGTCTGTCAAGGGAGAAGGGATTACCCTCACATGGGGAGACTCGTGCCCGTGTTGTGTGAACAACTCTGCACGAGCACCTAAGGAGGCTTACCTCCCTAACAGCCCGTTGTGGCGCGTACGTATCTCTATTGAGATGTACGAAGGGATTGACAACTTGAAATCCCTTTACGACCGTGCCGGGAAGACTTTCTCCGCCGGTCCTTCTGCGGCACAGGATGTGCCGCGTCGTACTGCTCTACCAGACCCAGTACGTCGATCATCAGTTGGGAGCGGGTCTCCCAAGAATCCCAGGACGGGGGATAGCCGCGCCACCGGACGAGATAACTCGTCCGACGTCCGTTCACGTCGCGGTGGTGTAACAGCTGCTCAACTAGATAGCGCTGGCCACCGCGAGAGTCCTCTAATGGAGGTGGAGGAGGAGGAAAGACGCTCTCCACACGATCATGTGGATCGGTGTGTTCCCGAGAGCTTTTTTGATCGCGTAACGCAAGGGTTACGCGACGATCTCGAGCATGAGCGGAATAGGCGTCTCCAAATGGCGGACACTGCCTCGAAGCATCGAGCTGAGTTTGCCTTTGCTCAGCTCGAGAACGAGAGATCTCTGACATCTCTTCGTGACGAGCTAAGGGTAGCTCGTGGGATTATTGATCGGTCTCGGGCTGAGATAACTGCTCTTCAGACCCTTGTTGATGCCCACCATCGGGAGCACAAGGCTCTCTGCGAGATGCTTGAGCGCAAGGGCGTTCTTCATCGGAAGAAGCAGCGTACTGATGGTACGGCTTAAGCCGACCAAAGTAAAACGTGGGATGCGTTCGCATCTTACGTGGTAACTCGATCGTGTATGCATTGCCCAGGCGGTGCAATACACGAAATGGGCCGATGTGCTTGGGTAGTAGTTTACTGCTACCCAAGTTAGTCACTACATGCTTTGGTAGATTAACCGTAGACAGTAGGACTAAGTCACCTTTATTAAATAAAAGAGTGTTTGCCCTTCCATTCTTGTCAGCGTTTTGCTTTTGCTTATCCACCGCTTCGGCGATGGAGTCTTGCACAAAACGGACTACCGTTTCACGAGCCAGTATGAACTCATCTGATGACTCGTTAGCTTCAGTGTGCTGTGAGCGCACTGCAGCAACAACAACCTTTTCTTCAGTGAGGGCTTCCGCACTCTCACTGGGATCATTGTCTTCAGTGAGGGCTTCCGCACTCTCACTGGCATCATCTTCTTCGATATCGATGTTATCGATATCGGCATCAAACGCAATGACTTCTTCGTCAGAGCGTGATGAGCGTGAACCAAATCGGTTTTTGCTCGCGCGAGTCCCTCCCCCCCTTAAACCAGAGTTACACTCTAGTAAGGTGGGTACACGCGGATGGCGCAAGCCATTCACGTAAAACGGTGTATGTGTCGTGGACGCATGCACCGAGTTGTTGATGGCAAACTCTACCATTGGCAAAAACTCACTCCAACTCGTAAAGAAGTGTACGTATCCTCGAAGTATCTCTTCAAGGACACGATTGGCACGTTCCGTCTGACCATCTGACTCTGGATGATCAGATGTAGACATCATCAAGCGCGTTCCGAGTGATTTGAACACGGAGCGCCAGAAATCAGCAGTGAAGCGTGGATCTCTGTCTGATACGAGTTCACGGGGCAACCCATGAAGTCGGAAGATGGTGTCAATAAAGACACAAGCACAGCCACTTGCCGTGATTGACTCTGGTACAGCCACTAGGTGTACCATTTTGCTGAATCTGTCAACAAAAACGAGAATACCCGTATTCCCGCGTGCGTCTTTGGGTAACCCGAAGACGAAATCCATTGAGATGGATTCCCAGCACTCAGCCGGAACCGGTAGAGGCTGTAAAGGTGCACGCAGTGAAGGACTTGACTTCACTCGTTGACAGACTTCGCATGCGCGAACATACTTTCGCACAAACTGATACTGGCGGGGCCAGTAAAAGTCTCGACTTACCGTGAGATATGTTTTCTCCCGGCCACGATGTCCTCCTATAGGAGCATCGTGATACTCGAACATGATCCGCAAACGCAGATCAGTATCATCTGGAATGACAACACGTGGTGTATCACCAGAAACGGCTGTATAATACAGTAAACCGTTACAAGTAGTGTATCGATCTGATGCAGATCGATACGCAGGCGACAATCGTTTCAACGATTCTCGGGATGGTTGGGAGAAATGTGACAACAACTTCACAATCTCACCATCTTGGGCGTATGCCCGCCTCATATCATCATACAACGTTGTAGATGGGACTGAGGACGTCATAACCGCAACAGTGACTGTCTCACTGTTGGGTTTCGCGACTGTTTCAAAGTCGGGACGACGTGAGAGTGCATCAGCGACGACATTAAGTCGTCCTGGTTTGTAATCGACCGTAAAGTTGTATTCCGCAAAGAATGACAACCACCGCGCCATTCGTTGTGAAAGGTGCGGGATGTTCACTGCCGTGCGTAATGACGCATGGTCAGTGTAAACAATGAAGGGTCTATCTCCTAAGAGATAGACTCTGAACTTCGCGAGTGCATACTTCATGGCAAGGAGTTCCTTGTCATGCACTGGATAGTTCCGCTCAGCTGGTTGCAGCTGACGCGACTGATAGCAGACGAAGCGTTCAACGCCTTCTAGGTCGTACTGCATTAATGCACAGCCGATTGCGAAATCGCTGGCATCACAGACCACATGAAATGGCCTGTCCTGATCGGCTATTGCTAGGACTGGGGATTGTATCAAGCTCTGCTTGATACCATCAAAGGAGCGCTGGCATTCAGCGTTCCATAACCACCTCTCGTTCTTTTTCAACAAACGAGAGAGGTGCACAGTCATCTCGGCGTAATTGCGTGAATACTTATGCAAATGCGCCGCTAGCCCAAGGAATTTTCGAAGACCTTTGACATCGACCGGCACAGGCCAGTCGGTGATCGCCTTGATCTTTTCGGGATCAGGATGTACACCGTTCTTACCAACGATGCACCCAAGAAGTGGTATTTCGCTTGCTGCAAATATACACTTCTTGAGGTTTGCGTACCATTGATGCTTTCGCATGATTGTAAGAACCTGTCGGACGTGGTACCTGTGAACCTCAACGTCCGACTTTCCATCCATAGCTCGACTATGGATGAATACGTCATCGAAATAACTCGGCGCGAACTCTCGTACTGGCCTCAACAGATGTGATACACATCTGTTGAACGTGGCAGGGGCATTACTGAGCCCTTGTGGCATTACTAGCCATTCCCAGAGCATGCCGATAGGCGTGCTAACTGCGGTATAGGGTATATCCCGTTCCCGCATTAGGATTTGATAGAAGCCATCCATCAAATCCATGGACGAAAAGATGGTACTCTTTGACATACCATCAATGATTACGTCCTTCCTCGGTATCGGCGTCTGAGCCGGTACCGTTGCAGCGTTCAATTTGTTAAACGCGTGCACTATCCGCCACCCTCCTGTTGCTTTTCGCACACAGAAGGTCGGAGAGCTATGTGGGGAAGTTGATTCCCTCACATGACCCGCTGCTAAACGATCGGCAAAGAACTTGTCGATCGCAAGTACTTGTTCACGAGGCAGTGGCCACTGCTTCATGACACAGTACTTCGAGCCTGGTTTAAGCTCGACTTCGTGTCGAATACCTTTATCCTTCGGTAATTCGCACGGAACAGTTTCAGGGAATACATCCTTGAATTCAACCAAATCTTCATAGAGAGGATTTGTCTTGAGCGATTCCCATGATTGAGAGTCATATCGCTCAACTCGTGTCTTTTCATCTAGGACACTCTCGTCCATAGATGAACTACTGAGAACTCTCTCGTTCTCAGTAAACACTGTTGCTGACCTTATGTCGGTTGCACACTCGTCGTCAGCGACGAGTATGCAGATCTGCTTGACTTTGCCACTACGCAGATCACGCAAGAACCTTTTATGTTCGAGCGTTGGCAACTGAGTGATCTCCGAAGTTAACTTCGGAGGCGCAATCAGATCAAGTGCATAAGCGCCTACACTTGATCCGTTATTGACTATGACATTCAATGTCTCTGTCATTTCCTGGGGACTTATTCCCTCAGGCTTCGAAGGACTTATTCCTTCGGCTTCCCGGGGACTTATTCCCGCGGGTTTCGGGGAACTTATTTCCGCCGTATTTGTAATCTTGGTACTTATTCCCTTTACTTCCTCTAGCTGGGGTTGCGCAACCACAGCGAGATCCTCTACGAAAGACTCTCCAGTCGATCTAGGATTATCGTTTCGCTTAACCTGAGCGATCGATTGTTTCTCTTCTAGATGTTCCCCGCTAGGGATACATCTTTGTCCCAGTCCACTCGACTTATTCGAGTGGTGGACCTTCGGCGCAGCCTGTGTTTCCTCACAGCCGCCGGAACTTTGCTCCGAAGTATAACCGTTTGGTACACTAAGGTTTTGTGCAGTCGTATTAACGACCGTACCACAAGTGAGGCCATCGCACTCACTCGCAGTACATCCACACGCTTGTGGACGCTCCAAAACGTTCATCAGATGGCCATCTGATGAACAAGCGGCAGGCATCGTTACTGTCCGATGTTGCCAGTTTACCCGTGGTTCGTACCTTCTGAGCCACGGTATTCCAAAGATGACATCAAATTTGTCATCCAAATCCAATACGATAAAGTCATCGTCATATTGGGTATCTTCTAGCGTATAGTGGATCTTCACTATACGCTTCATGACGGTTACGGATGCGCCTGTCGCAAGACGTACCGTCATCCTCGTAGGAGGTGTGTCACATTCACTGAATTTAAAGTGACCATCTTCTAGCGATTGGCGTCGCACAAAATTGTTGGACGCCCCACAATCGACTAGAGCTCGAAGGGACAACTTATTCGTCACTTCGAGTTTCAAGGTAATGAGTGAGACCTCATTACCTAGAGCAGCAACGCACAACGTTTGTGTGTTGGGAGAAACCTTCATCAAGAGGCCTACAAATTCTCTTGACGTTGTTAGACCAGTAGGGTGCTCCGCACCTACTGATCCTGTCCGTTTTTTGACGGTCCATCCCGTTGTTGCGTCTTTGCACCAACAGCGGACCCTCGTCCCTGCCCCTTTCTCATGGGTGGACGGTCACTACGCCCAGTGTCGCGAGACACTGGACGAGGGGCACTACACTCGTAAGCGTAGTGTCCTGGCTTTTGACATCTGTTGCATCTCTGCAACTTCTTGTAGCCTGTAGAGCGAGCCTTCTCGCTCTCTACATAACAGAGTTCCATCGGCTCTGGACCTCCGTTGTCATATCGTCTCGGTTGACGATATGATGTCGAGCTGGCGCGAGCCTGTCTCAGACTGAAGTCTTCCTGCTCCGCAATGGAAATGGCTTGTTCTAGTGAATCTAGTTCAAGCCGGAACAGGTGAGTCTTGACGGGACCATCCGCAAGACCCTGCATGAACACCGAAACCAACGTGTGTTCATCCACTGGATTGGAACTTATACAACTCGTGAGATGTCGTATATGTTGAGCGTAAGCGTGCACATCACGCTTACCCTAATTGAGCTTCAAGAGTTCGGTTCGAGCCCTGAACTCAGCTCTAGGCGGTTCAAACGTTTGTCTGAGCCGCGACTTGAAGACTTCCAACGACCCAAACGCATATGGGTCGTGCAACTTGATCCCCAGTGCCCAAGTCTTGGCACGCCCTGCCAGATTTGACTGGGCAAATGCAACTTGCATATCCCCGTCGTCGATGCGACGCGCCCTTATGGCGTCATCCAATTCGACGAACCATCTCAAGAGGGAGTCTTCTTCGACCCCCCTATACTTTGAGATGTCAATCTTCAAAGTCTCGGGCCGACGCGAGTGCATCGACCCGCCAGCAGCAGCCTGCTGCTGTCTCAACAGTTCAAACTGTTGAGCACCCTGTTCTCTCAACAACTCTGCTTGTTGAGAACCTTGTTGGTGAAGCAAGGCTACTTTCTCGCGTTCAGCGTCAAGTTCATTTTGAATGAACTTGGCGATAGTAGCATGTTGGGCATCTCTATTGAGAGCCTCTAGCATGACGCTAACAGCATGGATGCCCATGGTCGAACCCATTCGTTCAACCGCATCCCATTCGACATCGCTCAAATGGGAGTAGCCGTAACGCGTAGCGTGAAAGCTTTGGTCATCTTCATCATCCAACATATTCATGTTGGATGTGAACGCGGTCCTTGGACGGACTACGAAGTGCTACCGGGTGTAACGGGGCACCCTGAAGCTTGTACTGGTGACAGTACAAGCTACTTATTCTGATAACAGAATAAGGCGGTGCCTCGTAACTTCACGTACACTCGTACGTGCAGAGGAAGACGGTAAGAAGAAGCGAGTACTTGGTTAAAGTAAAAAGTAGAACTGTATTTATAATAGTTAATGTCTGCAATAAATCACTATTTATCTTCATCTAACTATGTCTAACTACAAATGTGTAAATCAATCATCTGCTCACCACTCATTGCGTGCGTCTGTCGTGGCGCGTCTTCGTTGGTTGATATAATGGCCTATATCAACCAATTAGGAACTACTCGTAAGTGCTACAGAATATTTGTCCTTATGACTATATTCTGAGAATATAACTCTTATAGTTATATTCTATTAACAATTTCTTATAAATTGTTATGTAACGATTCACCCCGTTACATTGGGTCAACCAAATCATCCTTACAAGCATCTCGTGGTGCCTTATTGCACACCTTGCAGAAAGGTCAATTAATTTCTTAAAAAATAATTATGAGACTGAAAATGTACGTACATATCGCGAGCCCGAAGAACGAACCGATAAGTGTTTGTGCGCAAGGTGAATGACAAACTTGCTAGACCTACTTTCTGTGTGTGTGATTGTCTGTTTCAGAAAAAAAAGCTAGATGTACTTTACACGTCGTACTAAGCGAGATGGAGGCTGCCTCCTCCTCGTTGCGAGCCCAAAGTGTAACGGGGTAGCCCGTTACATGAGGGTACCATTGTGTCAAATGGTAACGAAGAAATACTACATTAGAAATTTTTCAAAACAATATCACGAACGAGCAGTGATATTATTGAGATGACCGAAAGGTTTACTGTAACAGGGTAGCCCGTTACGTTAAATTGACACCAAACGGTGTCATCGGGAATTTTGTCTAGTACGACATTATTCTACCAATATTATCCGAGATGGATAATATTGAAGGAAGGTTATCCCATTTTGGATAATATTCATGCGCTGCTTCAAGATTGGTTGATATGAGACATAACAACCATGGATTGCCACCAATCGTTGCTAGACGCGCGCAATGAGTGGTGAGCAGGTTGTCGTCATACGACGACATTGTTTAACATAGTTAGATAAAGATTGAAGTTGTATTGATAGCTTAACTATATTGAATAAAATTCCCTTTTTACCTTACTTGATCGAGTCGTTCAAGCAGTTTAGCTGCCTATGCACGTACTAGTGTACGTAAAGTTTCGTGGCACCCCAAACAAAGGGAGACCGTTACAACTGGTAGCACTTTGTAGTCCGTCCAACGACTACTTAGTGTCCTCCAACATGAACACGTTGGATGTAGAAAACGACAGCATTCACATCACATATGAAAGCTACTTCCATCTGAGTGACTCAGAATGGGAGGTAGTCAGCCGCATGAGTGTGCTCATGGGCGAACCCGCCATCAGTGGTATGTTGGAGTCTCTAAGAAGAGACCAGCATCATGCTGCTATCAGCAAGTTCCTACAAGGGTAGTTTGCCGTCGAACGACAGAAGATAGCCTTGCTACAGCAGCAAGGCTCTCATCAGTCGATGGGCGGACCGACTGCGTCGACCCGAAACCTTAAAGAGTGATATCTCAAGGTACAAGGGAACCGATGAAGATTTCTTTTTGAGATGATTCGTCGAATTAGACGACGCCATCAGGGACCGTCACATCGAGGATGACGAGATCTAAGTCACCTTCGCCCTGTCAAATTTGACGGAACGAGCAAAGACTTGGGCCTTAGGGCTCAAGCTTCACGACCCAAACGTGTTTGAGTCGTTGGGGATCTTGAGTCTTGGCTTAAAGAGACGTTTGAGCCGTTGAGAGCCGAGTTCAGAGCACGCTCTGCACTCTTGAGGCTAAAGCGAGGTAAGCGTGACGTGCACGCTTACGCATAGCACCTACGCTACCTTGCGAGTAGCATCACGGAAAACCCTGTTGATGAGCACATGTTCATCAACGAGTTCATCTAAGGCCTTGTGGATGGGCCGGTGAAGACCTACATGTTCCGAGATGACTTCCATACACTATAAAAGTAGATAGCGTATGCGGAACAAGAAGACTTCAGCCTGAGACAGTCTCAGGCTAACTCGTAAAACTATCGTCCGACGAGAAATAAGGAAATAGGAGTTCCCGAACCTATGGACCTCTGTAACATCGAGAGCAAGAACTCTCGCTCTCTGAGTCACAAGCGAACGGCAAGATGCCATCGCTTTTAGAAGATTGGGCACTACGCTCATGAGTGTAGTGTACCGAGCAATGCAACAAGTTTAACGACAGGACGCGGTGACCACCGTTGGCCAAAGAAAGGTCCGGGGCGTGGGACCGACCACGTCGCCAAGCCGCGACAGCAAGTCGGACCGTCAAAAAACGGTCAGCGTCAGTAGGGGCGGAGCACCCTGCTGATCCAGCAACGTTAAGAGAATTTGCAGGACTTTCGACGAAGATTGCTCCTAACACACATTCTCTGTGTGTTACTGCCCTTAGTGATGAGGAGTCCCTCATCACTTGAAGATCGAAGTGACAAGTAGAATGTCACTTCGCGCCTTAGTTGACTGTGGTGCGTCCAATGTTTTTATTCGACGCCAGTCGCTAAGGGATAGTAGACTTGACTATTTTGAGCGCGAGGTCCCTTTAACGAAGATGACGATGTGCCTTGCTACAGGCGCATCCGTAGCAGTGAACAAACTTGTAGTGGGAATCCACTACACGTTAGAAGGAAAGCAGTACGATGATAAATTTGGTGCATTGGATTTCGATGACAAATTTAATGTCATCCTTGGTCTGCAATGGATTGGAAAATGCCAGCCATGGGTCAGCTGGCAGCATCGATCCGTGAAGATGCCTGCTGTTTGTTCATCGGATGGCCATCTGATGAACGTCTTGGAGCTTCCACAAGCGTGTGGATGCACTACGAGTGAGTGCGATGTCCTCACTTGTGGTACGGTCGTTAGTACGATTGCACACGATCACAGTGTAGAAGGCCACTACACTGTGAAAACAGCTTCCGGCACCTGTGTAGAGACACAGGCTGCGCCGAAGGCTCACTACTCGAAGATATCGAATAGACTGAAACGCGGATGCACACCAAGAAGGGTGCATCCGAGAAGAGAGGCTAGTGTTGTTCAGGATGGACAAAACGTTGAAGCAAGATCGACTATCAGAGAGTCGATCGTAGAGCAATCCCGCTATACTGGAATAGAGTCGATCAAAGAGGACGTGACCGTGATAGTACCCGCAATGGAAGGAATATCTAGCGTTCCTGAGAGTGATAACTCCCGAGAGAGTCATGTTGAGGGTGTGAATCGTCGACCACCTGCGGATGTGACTTACCAGGGAGCAACCGAGACATTGCATGTCTTGGTCAATGGCGGAATAAGCGTAGGCGCTTATACTCTCGATTTGATTGTGCATTGGAAGTTAACTTCGGAATATTACAGTTGCCAACAAAATAATTATAACAGTTCTTACGTGATCTGCGTAGTGGCAAATCAAGCAGATCTGCGTACCCTTCGCGGAAGACGAGTACGACACCGATATTCGGTTGGCGCAAGTGTTTACTGAGAACGAACAAGTTCTCAGAATTTCATCGATGGATGAGAGTGTCCTCGATGAGAAGACCCGGATTGAGCGATACACGTCTCAATCTTGGAAGTCTTTAAAGGCAAATCCTGTGTATGATGATTTGGTCGAATTCAGGGGTGTTTTTCCTGAATCCGTGCCATGCGAGCTGCCTAAGGACAAGGAACTCGGCATGAGATCGAACTGAAACCTGGTTCGAGATTCTGTGTCATAAAGCAGTGGCCACTGCCTCGTGAACAGGTCACAGCGATCGACAAATTATTTGCCGATCGTTTAGCGGCTGTTCATGTGAGGGAATCAACATCCCCACACAGCTCTCCGACCCTCTGTGTGCGAAAGGTTACAGGAGGGTGGGTGGCGGATAGTGCACGCGTTCAACAAACTGAACGCTGCAACGGTACCGGCTCAAACGCCGATCCCAAGAAAGGATTTCATCATAGATGGTATGGCAAAAAGTATCATAATTTCGTCCATGGATTTGATGGATGGATTCTATAAGATCCTCATGCGTGAGCGGGAAATCTCTTACACAGAAGTGAGCAACCCCAGTGGTATGATCTGGGAGTGGCTAGTGATGCCACAGGGGCTAAGTAACGCCCCCGCAAAGCTTAACCGATGTGTTACGATCCTGTTGCGATCGGTGCGCGACTTCGCACCGAGTTACTTCGACGATGTCTTCGTCCATAGCCGGGCTATGGATAGAAAGACGAACGTGGAGGTTCATAGAATCCACGTCCGGAAGGTTCTTACGCTAATGCGAGAGCATAAGTTGTTCGCGAACCTCAAGAAGTGTATATTCGCAGCAAACCGAATACCACTTCTTGGCTGCATCGTGGGTAAAAACGGTGTACGCCCTGATCCGGAAAAGATCAAGGCGATTAGCGACTGGTCTGTGCCAGTCGACGTCAAGGGACTTAGAAAGTTCCTTGGCTTGGCGGCGTACTTGCATAAATGCTCGCGCAACTATGCCGAGATGACTGTACATCTATCTCGTCTACTAAAGAAAAACGAGAGGTGGTCATGGAGCGCCGAGTGTCAACACTCTTTTGAAGGCATCAAGAAAAGCTTGGTGCAATCGCCTGTGTTGGCGATTGCAGATCAGGATAGGCCATTTCATGTGGTCTGTGACGCCAGCTATTTTTCAATCGGCTGTGCGTTAATGCAGTCGACTCGGACGGCGTTGAGCGCATCTTCTGTTATCAATCGCGTCGGCTGCAAGCAGCTGAGCGAAATTATCCGGTGCATGACAAGGAACTCCTTGCCATGAAATATGCACTGGCCAAGTTTCGGTTATATCTCTTAGGAGATAGGCCCTTCATCATTTATGCATACCATGCGTCGTTACGCACGGCCGTAAACAGTCTACACCTCTCGCAACGAATGGCGAGGTGGCTGTCTTTCTTCGCGGAGCACAACTTCTCCGTCGAGTATAAACCAGGACGACTTAATGTCGTCGATGATGCTCTTTCGCGTCGGCCCGATTTCAAGCCGACTATTTAACCCAGCAGTAGGGGTGATCCCACTGCAGCGGCACTAACAGTGAGTATTACGTCATTAAATCTGCTCGAAGACGTGCAAAAAGCATGCGCAGAAGGTGAGTCTGTCCTGCGATTGATGGATTACGTATCCAATCCTTGTAATCATGATTTGAAAAGCTTGTCGTCTCAACACCGCTTTCAACTGAACGGTATTGTGTTTATGATTAATCGCTGTACTATACAGCAGTCAACGGCGACACACCTCGTGTCGTCGTTCCCGTTCATAATGATTTGCGATTGCGCATCATGTAAGAGTGTAACGATGCCCCAACAAGTGGGCATCGCAGGAGAGAAAAGACTTACCTCACGGTTAGTCGTAACTTCTGCTGGCCCCTCCAGTACAAGTTTTGTGCGCAAATACATTCGCGCTTGCGAAGTTTGTCAACGGGTGAAGCCTAGTCCTTCATCCCACGCACCCTTGCAGCCTCTTCCGATTCCAGCAGAGTGTTGGTAGTCCGTACCGATAGAATTCGTCTTCGGGTTTCCCAAATACGTTCATAAGAATACGGGTATTCTTGTGTTTGTTGACCGGTCCAGCAAGATGGTGCATCTTGTTGCTGTACCGGACTTAATCACAGCCCAGAGCTGTGCGCGTGTCTTCATCGATACTATCTTCCGACTTCGCGGGTTACCCCGTGAACGCTTGTCCGATAGGTATCCCCGCTTTGTGGCGGATTTCAGGCAATCCGTGTTCCGTTCACTTGGAACACGTTTAACGATGTCGACTTCTGACCATCCCGAAATCGATGGTCAGACGGAACGCGTCAACCGCTTCCTCGAAGATATTATTCGAGGCCATGTCCACTCGTTTACGAGCTGGGGATAGTTCTTGCCGATGGCGGAATTCGCCATCAACAACTCGGTGCACGCATCGACAACGCACACACCGTTCTTCGTGAATGGCCTACGCCATCCCGTTTACCCGCCTTCTTATAGCGTGACTCTAGTTTGAGAGGGGGAAGGGGGACTCGCTTGAACAAAAACCGATCTGGTTCTTGCTCACCACCCGTCAAAATTGGTGATGACGTGATGGATGCCGATGTCGACGGGATCGATGTCGATGATGACGATGACGACGATGCTGGTATATTCAGCATCGCCAAAGACTGCCAAAGTGAGGACGATGATACCCTCACTGGTGGCGACAACGTTCTTTCAGCAGTGCACACGAAACGCAGTGCTGTTGACAAGATAAATCAGCAGAGGAATTTCTGCTGACTCGCGAAGCGGTTGTCCGCTTCGTTCAAGACTACATTGCAGATGCATTAGTCAGACAGAAGAGAAACGCAGACAAACATGGAAGAGCAAATGTTCTTTCATTTGATGAAGGAGACCTAGTTTTACTGTCTACAGTAAACTTACCGAAACACGCAGTGACAAACGTGGGCAGCAGTAAATTACTGCCCAGGTACATCGGTCCATTTCGTGTGTTGCGCTGAATGGGCGACGCATACACGATTGAACTGCCCCGTAAGATACGTATGCATCCTACGTTTCTACGCCGGTCGTCTCCGCCCGTACTATCAGTACGAGCCCGTTTAGAGGTGCGAAAAACACCTCCGCGGTCAAGAGCCGAGACCACCCTCGACGGGTCCCGTTTCAACGAGCCAATCTGGTCGACTAGCGAAGCAACCTGCTCACGCAATTTGGCAATTTCCTGACGAGCTACAGTCAGCTCGTCACGAAGAAGACGAATTGAACGTTCCTTTTCAACTTGTGCCACACAAACGCGGCACGATCGATTGAACGATCGTGTGCTAAAAAGATCAAACTATCCTATACAAAATCCTTAAGCTCATAACGCCGAGTCCGTTCATGTACCAGGTCATCGTGTAACTGAACCGCTACCCGGTTCAGCTCCTGAACATCAAGCTGATCCGACCCTCGAGCCGGATCAGGTGTTTCCGCCACCAATACAACCTTTGGTGGATTCTGGCGGGGGTCAACGCTTTCTGGTCGAGAGTGTCTTGAAAAACCGCGACTTAAATAGCTTACGGACGAGTTACCTCGTCTGCTGGTGTGGCTATTCACCGGCCTGGAACATCTGGGAGCCTCGTTTCCAGCTGATTGTTGATGTCCTTGGTCTTGTCGAGCAGTATGACAAGACACACCCGCTGCGTTTAAAGAAGGGCCGTCGGAAAACGACATCCCCGAACGCGAGTACAGGGATTGCAAGGTGTTAATCCCTTTGGCCAACTCGGAAGAGGTACGCGCCCTCCAGTGGGGAACGTTAGGGAGGAAGGCCACCCTAGAGACACGGTTCGAGTTGTCCAGGCAACATGGACACGAATCACCCCACGAGAGACAGGGTAATCCTGCCTCTATTGACAGCCGGTGCAATTTGTATCGTACCCCGGATGGGATACGTGTTTCAAATCTGATGCGAGCTGCATCAAGGTACCGAGCCAGGCCTCACGGCCAGTGCACCCGATGTTATGGATGAGGGCATTCCATCCTTGCACCAATGCCTTACCGTCTTTACCACGGCTGCCGTTGTACCACCGATGTTTGAAGAACGCATCGGTGAAGAACTCTTGCTCAGCAAGGATAGTTTCCGTGCTGGAATTAGGTGGGCAAATCTTCCTGCAATCGAACAGTGGGATTCGACCCCGTTCAGTGGTCGTGCCGGCCACTCAATTCAACTCTCTGGATGGCGGCATCCGTGGAGACTCCACTTGGGGAGCGTGGCGCAGGACATCTCAGTCCCTGGCCTCTTGATTGGATCCAGCATGAGCACCGGCGCCAGTGTTTCCCCGATCCCTTGAGTTACTTCGCTCGTGGTGATGCATAGGTGCATCACCACCATCACAACGCGTCCTATCGCTAAATGGACTTGCGTGAGGCGGAGATTCATCGGAATAATCACTCGATCCAAAGATCTCGGACATGATACCGCCGCGTTAACCAGAGCCAGTCAACCTGGCTCTTGCAGTGTCCGCCCCGGGTGATCCGGAGGCCTGAAGAGTCGCCTTCAAGTCCTGAAGAGTCGCCTTCAAGTCGGACGCATCATCCGACTCGCCAGAATCGTAACGGGGTGAATCGTTACATAACAATTTATAAGAAATTGTTAATTGAATATAACTGTAAGTTTTATTCTCAGAAGATTGTCATAAGGACAAATATTCTGTAGCACTTACGAGTAGTTCCTAATTGGTTGATATAGGCCATTATATCAACCAACGAAGACGCGCCACGACAGACGCACGCAATGAGTGGTGAGCAGATAATTGATTTACACATTTGTATTTAGACATAGTTAGATGAAGATAAATAGTGATTTATTGCAGACATTAACTATTATAAATACAGTTCTACTTTTTACTCTAACCAAGTACTCGCTTCTCCTTACCGTCTTCCTCTGCACGTACTAGTGTACGTAAAGTTTCGCGGCACCCCAAGCAAAGGGTGCCCCGTTACACCGGGTGTGATTTTTTACGAAATAGGTACTATAATCGCGTAGTTCGCTCAAAGATTCACTCTGATTTAGAGGTGATTTCATGTGGTGCGATGGAGATGCTCTTATACCAATGAACGAGCTCCAGAGCTTGCTCCTCTATCATTTATTGAGGGTATCTTGTAGGGCCGAATGAAAGTGGCTGCCACCTATGGGATTGCGACTCGATCAGTGTATAGATTAGTCAGTCTTTGAAGTGATGACCTTGATACGGTGTTTTCGTTCAAAAGACCGTCAACTCAGTACATACATACTCACGCTCTGATAAACCTATGACAACGCGATAATACACATATCTCTGCCGAGCCGCATCTGCACAGACCCTCCAACTTCACATTCGGTCTGCAAAGTCAGCCACAAGACTTTCAGAGTCACACCACGTCGTATTTTTATACGGTGTTTGCTGCAGCTTGGCAGCTCAACCAAGCCTATACTCTTCAGCCAGCAGGGCACACGAATTTGTCCCTGGAACTCCACTCCACACCACATGTCTTAAATGCGCACCGTAGAAAGCGAGCCCTGATTCAAACATAACCAGAAGCAGCCCGACCACTACAAGGAAAACACCTTTGACCAGTGCAGCTGCCTAATGAACGTGGTCGTCATTTTCCTCGTATGCAATGCTAACATCATACCGTGAGGTGACAAGAATTTGTCGCATCGCTTACGCTTTGGCCTCGGCTTGCCACTTCTTACGAAGTTTTATTGCCAACTTTGCTACCTTCTCATTGCTGCAACAACATGTTGACACACAGAAAATACAAAGGGGTCAGCTAAACCATCAGTCACATACACTTGACGACGTGAATATACCTGGAATTGCGAAGCTTAGACACAGGAATGCCGACCTTGGAATCAATGATGTCTTTCGTGTCTAGTGACATACTTTGAAGCTGTTCAAGCGCGGCCAGTTGCTTCCTTTGATGCTTCTGCTCGTCTGTACCGTCACTTTGCTGTCCTAAGATGCGGTTCAAAGTTTGGAGAGTCTTCAGCGAATTCGAACCGGATTCTAGGAATGGCCAAATAGTGTTAGCGGATACGAAATGACTGCAGCCACCACGAGAAGCGTACCGCTCTCTGCTGGCTGTTCGTTCGACAACTTGATCCATTTCTGCCGCAGATCGTGCGCCTTAGCAGAAACCTTGTCGTTACTACGAGAACAAATCAGTTTCATTATAATAAATCTGCAAGCAACATGACAAGTACATATAAATCGTACCCATGTTGGCGTAAGTTGGACACTGCCCGTGCAATTCCCGTCTTTTTTAGATGATCAATGGTCAGAGGCATCTGTAATATACACGTCAACTAGCTGACAACATCAAACACTTTTAACTTTTCTTTCTCCAACGTACCTCACTCAGCCGGTTTAAGCACACCAACAACTCGTCATGAGACGTCTCTGAGTACTCTAGCTGGGTCTTCAGATCCAAAATCTCTTCTTTTGTGATCGGTTCGGGCGCAGGAACCAAATCTTCGACGTCCCACTTCTTTACCAAATTTGTGATAAGCTCGCAGATCCTTGATGATGGGTGCACCCGTAGCTTCACCAGTCGAGGCTGTAGGGATGACGCCGCCAGCACGTTCTTGTCTACATGATCTATACTTTTGAGTAAATTCAAGGCATCCAAAATCTTTGGTTCTAGTTCCAAAGCTAGCGACAAATGCTTCGACACTGCTTCAAGCTCCTTCCTCGTGCTCTCATTGCTAGCAGCATCAGCTACTTCTTTCTCCCTTGCAACATCCATTTCCGTCTTTACTACGACACCTGGAGAAATAGGCATGGCCACCCTGTCCTGTTCGACTTTGAGATCAGGCTGCGCTGTATCCTCAGATAAAGCGGCAGCACCTTCTTCTGGGGCAGTAGAAACAGAGTCGAATGTATCCTCGTCTTCCATTGAGGCGATCACTCGCGCAACGCCTTCTTTGATTGATGCCTTGTGGTGACGTAAGTCGATCTTTAGACGTTCTTCAAGCAACTTCCTCACCATCCTAGTTGTCATTTCCTCAAACGGACAATTGACAAGAATCCAGCGGATCTCTTTCTCGAGAAGAATGCTAAGCGCCTCTGACGTTATGGCAGGTGGAGGCCACTTCTTCTCGTCATTGTCTCGCTTCACTACATGTCGCTCGCTCTTGACGTCAGTTTCGAGCATCGTCTTTGCTACTTTGACCGGCGACGCGCTTCTCGTGTCCCGACCTTTTTCGCTATCATTCTTGCGCTTTATGTCGTCTGTCCTTTTAGTCTTCTCTTCTTCAGGCCCTTTTTTCTTCTTCTTCGTCTTCTTCTCCTTTTTCTCCTTCTTCTTCTTTTTGTGTTTCATCACTTGCACTTCCTCTTCGTGGTCCCCATTCTCCATATCATCTCCATCGTCCACACTTCGCGTCTCCATCTCTTCGTCCGTGTCCGAGTTCATTGCCATATCTACCGGCACCACAAGCTCCGGTGGCGGCTCCAGCGTCGGATCTAGATCCGATGGCACCATATGCGGCGGCAGACGAATGTCTTCAGGCTGCGACAAGAACTCTTCGGCCTCGTGCACGGCAACCCGCAGATCTTCAATCACACCCTTCTTCTTAGTCAAGTGCTTCGGATGGCCCTTGAGGAATTGGTCCTTCTGCGCACAGTCCCATGGCCGCAACACGCCATTCTTCATTCCAACCAGAGAGCTGTCACCAACACAAATCATACACCATCACCACAAGACACGAGACACACGACACACCATCACGCGGTACACGATACAAACAGCGAATTTGTGTCAGTTCCATTGCCACTTCTGAAACTCCGTTCAACTGCAAGTAGTCAGGAAGCTTCAGCTACAAGTTTATCCGCTACTTTATCCAGTCACGCACAAGTCGTGCGAGCCAAAGTAGTAGACAACAATAAAATCCAATGGAAAGTCGCGCGCTTTTTTCAGAATCTTCTTGTGGCCACTCCCAAGAAGATGCAGCGTCGGGCGGAGCTTCGTCACGTCGCAAATGTACACGGGCCACCACGGGTACCCCTCGAGGATGTACCAGCCAACGGAATTCGGCACGACGGCAGTCATGTTTATCCGGATAAAAAAAAAACTCTCCGTCGAAAGTGATCAACAACAACAACAAATATCTCTCCTCCAGCAAAGTACGATGGTACCATACAAAGGGTACATGGACCCCTGACTGGCTACGACGGGCACTTTTGCCACATGTCGCACCCGTCCTCCCTCTATTTGGATCTCTTGGCTCGGAGAGCTCCCGAGCCAATTGGTAGTCGACCCGACCGCCTCACTCGTCGATCTCCGTTCAAAGAGCTCCTCGCTCCCCCTATCCACCAAGTGACGGACTGAGCGACTGAGTGACTGAGTGACCCATGACGTTGTCCGATGACGAACGCAGCGACGTGAGCGACGACGAGACGACGGAGCAGCAGTCGACGCCCGAGGAGCCCATTGAAGACTGCCGCAACTCGGACGTCGTGACCAAGTACCGTCTGGCGGCCGAGATTGCGCAGTCGGCGCTGGAAGGCGTGCTCGGGCAGCTGGAAGCCGGCAAGGACGTGGTCGAGCTGTGCAAGTTCGGGGACCTCGTGGTGCAGCAGCGCTGCGGCGCGATCTTCAAGACCAAGAAGATCGACAAGGGCGTGGCCTTCCCCACGTGCATTAGCGCCAATGAGATTCTGTGCCACTACTCGCCCTTGGCGACCGAGTCGAAGACGCTAATGGCAGGAGACTGGGTCAAGATTGACCTTGGCTGTCACATTGACGGCTACGTGGCTGTGGTCGCCCATACGGCGATTGTACCCAGCACTGGATCAGCCCTGGAGACGGAGTTCCCGGAACTGAAAGGGGAAGAAGCCGACGTGCTCAAGTGCGCGCATGACGCTGTGGAGCTCTGTGCGCGACTGATCAAACCGGGCAACACGAACTTGCAGGTGACGGAAGCGTTGATGCGGCTTGAAGAGTCGTACGGGGTCAAGAGTCTCCAGGGCACGCTTATGCACCAGCTCAAGCGCTTTGTCATTGACGGCAATAAAGTCATTGCCCAGAAGACGGACGTGGAGAACCGCACGCCGAAAGTCACGTTTGAACCGCATGAGGTGTACACGATCGATGTATGTTACACCACGGGTAGTGACAAGCCCGTGACGAGTGAACGACGCACGACAGTGTTCAAGCGGCAGGTGGACAAGCAATACCGTCTCAAGATGAAGGCCTCGCGGTACGTGTTCAAAGAGATCAACCACAAGTTTCCAACCATGCCGTTCACCATCCGCGCGTTCGAAGACGAGAGCCAAGCGCGCATGGGCGTCGTCGAGTGCGTCAAGCACGACTTGCTGCAGGCGTATCCGATTCTGGAAGGACGATCGGGTGACAAGGTCGCGCACTTTAAGGCGACGGTGCTGCTGCTACCGAGTGGCACGACCAAAATTACGGGGCTGTCGTTCCCGAGCGAGCGCGTGCTGTCTGAAAAGACTGTAGATGAAGAGACGGCCAAGATTCTTGCTACATCTTTGAAGAAGAAGAACAAGAAGAAGAAAAAGAAAGCCTCGGCCTAAGTCCATTCGCTCGGCTCTCGTCGTTGTCTGAAGATTGGCGTCGGTGTGTGCTGGTGCTCGCAGTGGCGATGGGATTTTGGAAAGAAGGGCGACTGATTGGTGATACTCTCGTATTCGAGCTTGTCGTGTCAGATATGAACGGCAAGCAAGTTGTGGACGACCGTAAGTGCGTGGTGGGCATCTTTCCTGCATGACTGTGGCCAGAACTCAGGCATAGGAGGAGGAAGCTAGTAGCGGTCACTGGAAAATAGTACGACGTCACATTTTCCATTCAAAGGTCTTTCGGTGGTGTCACCTTTTGTGCTAGTGTCGTGCTCCTATATAATCGGTGATGATAGCATACCCTACTGGCCGTATCTGGATGCAAAGAACTCATCTCTACCAACAAAAGACCGCGAGTTCCTTTCTGCAAACAGTAAATACATTGGCATTTACAGTCTAGTTGGTGCTCTTGTTGCCCTTGGTTTTCCGCTTGCGCTTCTTCGGACCCTTTTTAGTCGACGCAACCTCAGCTTCTTTACTCTTCACCTTCTCGGCCTCGAGCATGGCGCGCTTGTCCTCGAGCTTCTGGATCTTGTCGGCCTTCTTGCCCAAACCGTACTGCATTCGATCGTACAGATGCTTGGCCTTCTTCGACATCATAGTCTTGGCCAACTCCTTCAGCTCTGCTGCCTCTTCCTCTTTCTTGACACGCTTTGACTTCTTGTCGGTAGTGCTATCGTCTGCCTTGCGCTTACCAGACACTGACTTCTCCTCTTGCTCCTCCTCTTCACTCTCATTCTCCTCCTCTTCATTCGATACCGGCTCCTCTTCATCTTCCTCCGCCTTGTCGTCGTCGCTGTCGTCATTTCCCTTTTCATCAGGTTTGCCATCCATCTCAGCTTTCAGGTCAGCGGCATAGACTTCCTCCTGCTCCTCAGCGTCCTCATCGTCAGAGCTCATAGCTCCCTCATCACCAACAGCACCGACCTCGCGCAGCACCTGCACAGCCGACTTGAGCTTGTTCAGCTCCTTGCGGTACTCTGGAGTGTAACCTTCCTGTCCGTCGTTCACAAACGGCGAAAGATGAGGCGGAAGTTCTGCACCAGGCAAATAACGCGCCAGAGGCAGCAGGATGCCATCGTTTACCGAGTCAAATACCCACTGCGGCTGCACGTACTCGCGGTTAAAGTAGCGATGACCCTGATGCGGCCGATCCATGACGTGGTGCGTGATGCGTGAGCTCTTTTCATTGAAAGGAGAACCAGCGCCGTCCCAACCAAGAGTCGCGCCGTGCGATCGCAGCACCAGTTCCAAACAAGCCGAAGGTACTTCGCGGGACAAGAAGAAAGTCAGCCCACTGAACAAGCTCTTCTCACTGCATTCCTTGCGTTGTTCATTATAGATCTGCGTCGCCAACTCATTCGACGCAAAAGCGGCCTCAAGCGGCTCACTCATCTCGCCAAAGGACGCCTGTTCATCCTCTTCTTCGTCCTCATCCAAAGCGCTGCTGTCCTCTTTCGCGATCGCACTGCCAAGAGTCTTAATCCGCTTCTCAGACTCCTTCTGTTGCTGCAAAACTTCCTTGGAGATCTGGGTCGTCTTGACCTCCTTCTCCCCGCTGGCTTGCACTTCTTCCTCCTCCTCTCCAATCTCTTTCACCTTCTCTTTCTGCACCCTTTCCAATTCAATCGCAGCTAGTTGTGCACCAGCTGAATCAAGCTGCAAGTTAATCTTTGGCGGGTACGCGACTCCGATGTGCATGTACAGCTGTGCGTTGACAAACTTAAGCAGCACTTCATAGAACTCCAGAAACGTCAGCATGACCCGCACGTCCACGCGCTTGTCCACTGTCGGTGTAAACTGATGTGGCACCAGCCACGTAATGGTCTGGCCTTGCACATTGGCTTGATAGTAGATGCCCTTAATGCTCACAAAAACCTTAGAAAGCGCTCGCGTGGCAACAATGTAGTTCTGCCACTCACGCACAAGTCGCAGACATTGGCTCGTGACGTCTGCATGGATCCCATTGCCCGTAGGCATGAGTGCAAACAAATGCACAAGACACAGCGCATCATCCAGATCTCCCAGTGCATCAACAAAGCGCGGATAGCGCTCCTTGACAATGTGATCGAGCTCGTACGTCGGACGATTCTCGTGCTTGCGCTTGGCATTTGCATAATCTTTCCGCCCCATGGCTTTTGTCACTTGTTTCATAAACGTCTTGAAAGCGCGGAACTTCCTCAGCACTGGCTCATGCGCCAAGAACATGACGTCCTTGAGGTAGTAGTACGTCTTGTCCTTGCCCGACACCTTCTTCTTGGGCTCTCGTGGGTAAATACCCTTCAAGATACACAGCCGACGAAAGTCTTTCAGCGTGACTTGCAGCCGCTTGAGCGCTTGACTGCGCGTGATGTAATTGGCGGCAGACCCCCGCATGCCCTTGCGCTGTTCCTTGCCAAACCTCGACAGCCGGCGCTTGCTGCTCATGGAGTCCGTCATCTTGGCCTTGATGGACTTGAGCTTCTTCTTGCCCTTGACGCGTTTGGTCGGCATCTTGATCCGGCAGGAGGGGAAAGAGCGACGACACTAGAAGAGAGAGAGAGAGAGAGAGAGACTTCCGGCTGGCCGAGGCGTGACGGGCAATGGACAATGGAGCTCTCCGGACGAAGAGCTCCAGTCAATTGATCGATGCGATTGATTGGCTAGAAAGTGAGTGACCCAGCTGCAATATGATTGGACAATAAGAATTGTGCTTTTGACCAGCGCATCTTGAGCTTTGCGTCGTGAAGTATTCACTGGCACCCGACAGCTGGACGACTCGGACGACTAGTTGCGCTATGGCAGGCAAGAAACGAAAGCAGAGCAGCCGTGGGATGGTGAAGAAGAAGGTCAAGACGATGAAGGTTGCGGATGTGCAGGAACGGGACGGAACGGTGCTGCAGGAGCTGCAGGAGGATCATTTAAGTACCGAGCACGAAGGTGTCGGTTGTCAAGAGACGGGAGACGCCGCTGCTGGGACTAATTCTGTGACAAAGGGGCTTCTTTCGGATGAATTGATGCAAGAATTGGGTCAAGACGACGCTGGCGGTGCCTTGGTGCTGCCTGGACATCGTGAGAAGAAGCAGAAGGTGGAGAACATGCCCGAGGAGCTGCTGCAGCAAGCGCAGCACATGAGTAAGAGTAAACGCAAGAAGCTGGAAGCCATTGCAGCAAGGAAAGTCAAGGAGGCGAAGCGTGAGGACTTGTATAAGTCGCTTGAGAAGCAGCAGCTCTCGCAGGACCAGATGAAGCTCTTGTACAGCACGTCGCAGATGGGACACAAGGAGACGCTACGAGAGCGTTTGAAAAGGTCGATGAATCGACAGAAAGCAGGGATTGAACTCTCGGAGGAGGCAAAGAGTGAGTTGTATAAAAAGAAGGAGAGGGGAGAGAATGAGGACGAGGAGGGTGATGGAAATATGCAGGTAGATGACCTGGTGGAGAGCGAGCAGATCAACAAGTTGAACCGCAATGAAAAGACGGGTGGTGGTGGTGACGGTAGCTGCGTTGCAGACGCTGATACGAGCCATAAGACTGAGGTTTGTGGGACTGCTGCACCAGAAAAAGGTAGTAAGAAGAAGCACGGGAAGAAGAAAACAATTGTGGCGAATCGCGCAGTGCCAATGCTGCCTACGCCCGACGAAACCGCCAACCTCGTAAAGAATGAAAGAGAAGCTCCTGTTATGACCCTTCACCAAATGGTAGCTGAAGAGGAAGGTCCTGAGGAAGAGGCTAAGCACGCTAGTTCACAAAGCGCTGCAATGACAAAATTGGAAGCTTTACGCAAGAAAAATGAGGAGAAGCGCCGATTAAAGGCACTCGCTGCGACAAATCCCCACGACGATTCTGCTACGAAGCAGAAAGACGATGTAGCGGAGGGTAGCGTGGCTGCGTATGTGCCAAAGCCGATTGTGATGAAGACCGCTGCTGAAGTCCGTGAGCTCAGCAAGAAGACAGCGTTGCCGTATAAGACCACTCTTGTCTCGTTGTCGCGGGACCCAACGATACAAATGGCGCGTATGCAACTTCCTGTATGTAGCTCTGAGCAGGAAATTATGGAGGCCATTACTGACAATGACGTGGTAATTTTGTGTGGTGAGACGGGCAGTGGCAAAACTACGCAAGTGCCACAATTCTTGTACGAGGCTGGCTATGGTCACCCGGATCATGCGACACATTGTGGCCGCATCGGTGTAACTCAGCCACGACGTGTTGCTGCCGTTTCTACTGCCAAACGCGTTGCTGAGGAGCTTAACGTTCCGTTTGGCGCGCCTAAGGGACATGTCGGCTACCAAATTCGTTATGATGCTGAACACGTGAGCGAACACACACGGATCAAGTTTATGACTGACGGCATTTTGCTGAAAGAGATTCAGCAGGACTTTTTGTTGCGTCAATACTCGATTCTTCTCTTGGACGAGGCTCACGAGCGCAATGTGAACACGGATATTCTGATCGGTCTTTTGTCTCGTATCGCTCCACTACGAGCTCAAATGTCGCGAGAGGAAGAGGAGCAGTACCAATTGCTGTCAACGGAGGAGAAAGAGGTCGCTGATAAGCCTATAAGGCCGCTGAAGCTCGTCATTATGTCTGCGACGCTGCGCGTGGAAGACTT